ACATTTATGCAGAACATCAGTCATGCCTGGAATGCATTCAGTCTTTCAGATTCCTAATCTTTTTTCCAGGCCTAGCTTAGATCCTGCCTTCTTCTTGTAGTGTCCCTGGATTCCCCCCAGCTTTCAATGTTCTTTCCCTCCTCAGATATTCTTAAGAGCTCTTTATTTGATCTCTTATTTACCTCCCTTGCTCTCTATGTTGCATTATAATTCTTTCCAATCCCCTGATACCCTTCTCCCAAGAGAATGTCTCTGGGAAGAATAGATGTGCTTAAAATCTTCAGATGGATTCTCCTCCATCCCCCCAGCAGTGACTTAGCTGTGTCTGTCTTCCCGAAGCCCTGTCAAAATATTTATGTTTTAACTATAGCTAACAAATTAAATTTATAAAAGAGAAACTCCTCTATGAGAAAGGAACTTAGGGGTCAGGATGTAGACAAATTATAAAGCCTGATATAGTTTTCTGTTGATTGCCTCCAGTTTATTATGTATATAGCATGTTGCTGCATGGCTGTTAACATATTGTGTCCCCTGTTAGACTGTGAGCTCCTTTAAAGGAGGGACTGTCTTTTGCCTTTCTTTGTATCCCTAGAGCTTAGCACAGTGCCTGGCACGTAGTAGGCACTTAATCTTAAACGATTGACTACTGAAATACTGAAATGAACATTTTATTTTTTACAAGTAAGGAAACTTTGGTCTGAAGAGAAGGAATTTGCCCATGGATCCAGGGCAACTGAGTGTCAGAGATAGACTAGAAGCTACTGACTCCTGATTCATTGTTCTTTACGGAGTTCCAGACCACCTTTAGGAAAGTCAAATCAGAAAATCATTCTAGGAAAAGAGCTGCTTTCCTCAATATGTCACCTAAATAGAGAGAAATCTCATGGACCGTCTAGGTGAGCCTGTACCTGAAGATGAAACTTTGGAATGCCATGGCCCTAAGAAGTGATCATCTGTATACAGTAACAGCAACATTGTTTTAAGGATAACTTTAGGTGGCTGTCATTATGACTATTATAAATACCCAAATGAACTACAGAGGACCTATGAAAGAAGATACTATCTGCATCTACAGAAAGAACTGGTGAGTAGAAGTATGTACAGAATGATTTTATATACATACATATATACACATACATATGTCTAATGGTAGCTATGTCTAGGATGGGATGGGGAGAGGGAAGAAAAAAGTTACATAAAAACATATATATATATATAATATTGTATTTTCCCCCAATTACATGTGAAAAGAATTTTTAACATTTTAAAAAAAAGTTTTGAGTTCCAAATTCTGTTCTTCCCTCCCTACCTTTTTCCATTTTCCCTTCCCTGAGATGGTAAGTAATCCGATATAGGTTATACATGTGCAATCATGTAAAAAATTTCCATATTAGTCATTTTGTACAAGAAGACTTGAATAAAAAAGAAAGAAAGAAGGAAATAAAAAGTGAAAAATAGCATGCTTCAGTCTGTTTTCAGACAATATCAGTTCTTTCTTTGGAAACTTTAATATATATTTAAAAGGAATAGCAAGTCGTACATAACATATTTGTAGCTTCAAGTGCAATCATCTTTTTCCCCCAGTCTACTATGTTATAGAAATGCTTGTTTTATTTCTTAAGTTCGGAACAAAATTAATTAATTAATCTTTTTTTTTTTTTAGTAACTTCTAAGTGATGATGAATTTTCTAGGAAGAAGCTCATTCCACTTAAGGATGGCCCTCACCATGGAAGTTTTCTCCACTTAATGCTGTTTCTATTAAGCTAAAATCTATCCCTCTGCAAAATTCACCTAGTGTTCCTGATTCTACTCTTTGAGGCCAAGAAAAATGAGTTAAAATGCTACTCTATATGACAGCCCTTGTGAATTATCCTGTCAAAGCCTAAGCAATGGTGCTCAGCCCCCCCCCAAAAAAAATTACCTTGATGCTAACTTAAGTTCATCCCTGCCTCTGCCACCTACTGACTGTGTGACCCTGGGCAGGTCATTGACCAGTGCCTTAATGCCTCAGGGCAGGCTTTCTCAAACTGTAGCCAGTCAGTCAATAAGTAGTAATCAAGGAAGTAATATGTACCTGGCATTGTGCTAAGCTCTGGAGATACAAAGAAAGGCAAAAGACAACTGTTGTCAGAGAGTTCATAGTCTAATGGGGAAAATAACAGGAAAACAATCATGTACAAACAAGATATATACAGAATAAGTTAAAGATAATCAATAGAGGGAAGGGGGATCAGGAAAGATGTCTTATAGAAGGTGGGATTTCAGCTGGGACTTGAAGGAAGTCAGGGGAGTCTAGAGGTAGAAATGAGGAGGGAGAGCATTCTAGACATGGGGGACAGCCAGAGAAAAAGCCTAGAGTTGGGAGATGGAGGGCCTTGAGTGAGAAGGATCCAGAAGGCCGTGTCACTGGAAGCATGGTACACAGAGGGACTAAGGTGCGTTGTCCTGCACTGATAGAGGTGATTTCCTCATCAACAGCTCTTTATTTCGATAAAATCAAAGGCTGGGACCAAAAATAAAATAAAATAAAATTAATAAAGTTTTTCTGCAGTGAAACATTTCCAATTCTTAAGTAAGGCAATGTGGTATAGTGCCATTCACTGGTCGTATGACCTTCAGAAAGTCACTGAATAAGGCTATTGAATTGTAGAGAAGTAAATGGATTGCATGTCTGTACAGGGAGTGACCACAATGATGAAATCACAGATTCCTCAAGTACTGAAGAAATATTAGTATGCAACCAGGCCTCATTGAGCATGTTTCTAGTCACCTTCTCCTAGATATGCTCCACTATGTCAATGTCCTTTGAAAATGTATTGCCCAGACCCCAAAATGATATTCTAGATGTGGCAGGGATAGGACAGAGGGAAAAGAAGGAAACAAACATTTATCTAGTGCTTACTGTGTGCCAAGTGCTACGCTAAGCATGTTACAAGTATTATCTCATTTGTTCCTCACAAAAACCCTGGGAGGTTAGTGCTATTATGATCCTCACTTTACAGTTGAGGAAACTAAGACAAACAGAGGTTAAATATCCAGAGTCCATAGTCAGCTGGACAGCTACTAAGAGTGTGGGGCTTGATTTGAACTTAGGTCTTCTTGATTCCAGGCCCAGTGCTCTATCCAATGTACAGCCTCTTTTTTCCAGTCATTTTTCAGTTGTGTCTGACTCTCCCTGACCCCATTTTGTGTTTTCTTATTGGAGTGACTTACCATTTCTTTCTCTAGCTCATTTTACAGATGAGGAAACTGAGGCAAACAGAGAATAAGCGACTTGCCCAGGGTCACATAGATAGTAAGTGTCTGAGGCTGGATTTCAACTCAGGAAGATGAGTCTACCTGACTCCAGGTCTGGTGCTGTATCCACTGCATCACCTTATTGTACTGCTTAGATGCCAGAATAGATGAGTCTATTCAAGCTGCCACTCCTAGGACCATCACTTCCTTCACTCTGGACCTTGCAGCTAGATTAATGAAGCCCAAGATTGCACTTGGTGCCCTGTCTCACTACTGCCTCACATTGCATCACTAACCCCATGACATCTTTTTTCACAGGACCTCTTGTCTAACTTACCTCCTCAAATCCTGTCTCTGGGCATTGATTTCTTTCAATCCAAACGTTGAATTTTACCTTGGTCTCCCTTAAATGTCACTTTATGAGATCTGGCCCATCATCCTAGCCCCTGCCCTCCAGTGTGCTCTGCCAGCTTCATGCCATCTGCAAATCTGACAAACCTGCCACTTCTGCCTTCTCTTGCCTGTCCTTTGCCTGGCTGCCCAATCTCCTACCCCCAATATTCAGAGGCCCAGTCTTTTCTCTATTACCTTCCCTGGACTGAAGTTTTCCTTCTCTCCAGTTAGACCTCTGGTGGGAGTAGGAAGCTAGAGTCAATTCAGACACTTAAATCCCTTTCTTCCCATTGTTCCTGGAGGCTAATGAGATCCCTGATATTAATAAGCCACTTGGGAGTGTGTGAGGAAGTCAAGAGAGTCTGTCCCTTAGGATTCCACCACCCTTTCCCCATCCCTGATAGCTCCCTTAGCCCATATTAACAGCATCTCATCGTCCTTTTTACTATGGAACTCATTATCAGCATTCCCTCCTTCAGTTAAATGCTGCAATGGATAGAACTCTGGGCCTGGAGTCAGGAAGACATGAGTTCAAATTCAGCTTCAGATACTTACTAGCTGTGTGACCCTGGGCAAGTCACTCATCCCCTGTTTACCTTAGTTTCCTCATTGGTAAAATAGGGATAATAATAGCACCTACCTTGTAGGGCTGTGGTGATAATAATTGTAAAGCACTTAGCACCCTTCCTGGCACATAATTAGCATTATAGAAATGTTAACTATTCTTCTTCTTCACCTATCCTTATTCTAGGTTTCTGAAACCTCCCAGCCCTGCTGCTGTTTCTTTTTATTTTCCCTCCAAGTGCATGGCATGACCTGATTCTTCCTTGAATTTTAAATCCTAGCCTCAGTCAGACCCGAGCACACACATGGGTTTATCTAACCTTCTTCCTCTTCTCCCTTGTGAGATTCACAATGCAGCCCTAGGCCCATTTTGTGGGTATGATTATTCAGTACCATGGAATGTGCCTGAGCTGTCATCTCCTGGCTTGTTTGTTTCAAAAAAAAAAGAATGTTCCCACTTTCTATCCCCCCCTCTTTCTGTCCTGCCTAGTCCAGGTTTCAGGTGAACCTGCCATCATTGTATTAAAAAATGGCAGTGAATTCTGAAAGTATTTGCCAGAGGATATGAGGCTCATTAGGGACCCAGGCTGGTGCTACCAGCTCAGAACCACTCCAGGCATTACTATCCATTCTCTACCCAGCCACCACCACATTATAAATTAAATCAGATGAATTAGAAAGCCACTAAGACATCCACACAAAGGGCCCAACTGTGAGATAAGAAACTGGGGATTTGGCATTGGACCTCAAAGCCAGTAGAGCCAACTATAATCAAGCCCTCCTGTCACCATGGAGCTTTACTCACGTGAAATCAGCTCTTCCACAATGTGGGTCAAGGTAAGGCCACTGGCTGCACCTGCTGATGTAGAATATCAGTGCAGTGGTTGTTTGGATTTCCAGGATCCCTCTTCAGAGGCCGGTGGGTCTCTCACTGCAGCCTGTTAGCCAGACCTGGCAGCACTGTTTGTCCTGTGAGGTGAGATTCTGTTCTCCTGGAAGGTATCTGCACTATTTAGCTCCCAGTCATGCTCCAAGGCTAGCGGTGTCATTCACTTGGCAAACCTGTGGACCCAGTTACCAGTAATCACCACTGACCACTAGCTTCAGGTAGCAGGAGGGTTTTGGGGCTTTCGTAGTCTTTCCACCAGTACCCTCAGGTCTCCTCCCCTGAAAGCCCCTCCCATTTGAATAGACCCTCCTCCCACATGGGGAGTCCTCTTCCTCAGATTAGTCAGACTGGGAGTCCTCTAGGCAAATTGACTTAACTGTGTTGAAGGATGCACAGGTCACAAAGTGGAGCAACTTTGAAGGTTTTTTCAAAGCCAATGTGGTAATTAAAAAAAAAAAATGAAACTATGGAATGTTTTGGCTGGAAGCCTTCTCTTGAGGTCACACAGTTCATCCCTCCAGCCTTTAGATAAGGTTGCCAGCTGTTATTTGTCCTTCCTTCTCAAAGAGGACCGTGACATCAGGAAGAAGATGTGGTTACTTGCAAGTGAATTGGATTTAAGTGAGGCAGGGAGTTCTAGGAGTCAGAAGACCTGAATTCTAGCTCTGGCTTTGGGTGATCTTTGACTATTCATTTAACCTCTTCAATGCTCATTTTTCTTATACAGAGATTGGAACAATCATAATTCACATCCCATCCATCTCTCAGGTTTTTGTAAGGATTAGATAAGATAGTGGAAATAAAAGCACTCTATAAATTGCCAAGTTCTGAGCAGATGTCAAGGTCTGTTATATGTATGAAATAAAGGAAGGGAGCCTGAAATACCACCAGAACTCAGAGCTGAGGCAGGGAGGACAGAAAATTTGGACAAAGGCCATTAAAGCAAACTGTGAGATGCTGATTGGGTGTAGACTTTCCCAAATGTGCATATGCAAAGCTCTAGAACAGGCTTCAGGTTCAAGGACAGATGACTGTTTCTGAGGTATGTGTATAGTGGAAGAGTGTTGGAGAGATAGTTAGAACCAGGGGTGAAGTCATAAGATGATAGGATCATAGATTTAGAAATGGAAGGAGCTTAACAATTGTAGAATCCACCCCCTTCCCATTTTTCCAGATTCCAGAACCTGATTTCCCCAGGTTCACATAGCTAGTTAAGTGTCTAAAGCAAGATTTGAACTTGAGTTTATCCATTATGCCATCTAACTGTCTTAGGAAAGAAAAGGTAATAAAAATCTCAAAGTACAGTCTGAAAATGGCAAACCACCTTTTTAGAGGCAGCTAGGTGGTTCAGTGGATGGAGCATTGGACCTGGAGTCAGGAAGATCTGAGTTCAAATCTGGCCTCAGACACTTAGTAGCTATGTGACCCTGGGTAAGTCACTTAATATTGTTTGCCTCAGTTTCCTCATCTGTAAAAAGAGCTGGAGGAGGAAATGACAAACCATTTCAGTATCTTTGCCAAGAAAACCCCACATGGGGTCATGAAGAGTTGGACAAGACTGAAAAACAGCTGAACAATAAAAAGAAAAATAGGGTGATTAGTTCCAGTCTGATGGAATGTATGTCAAAAACTCTTTATGAATATTGGTTGATAAAATTATGATGATCCAGAGGACCTAGTTGTTATAGGCCACAAAAGGACTTGTTTTCAACAAACTCTCTATTTTATGATTCGACATTGTTCTTGTATCTTGCCCCTCTTTGCATCCCTGGAATTGTTTCTTTCTGTGTTTACACAACTGAAGTGTTTCCCCATTCAATCTTTGTTTCCCTAGTGGATTGACCAAGCCTTAAGGCTTACCCACAATGGCTTATGCCATTATGGTCATGAGCCCCCTACCAGATCCCTTACTTGGTGCTGTAAACTAACTGGTATAAGATATATGGGTTTTTGCTGATTCATATTGCTTGTTGTCCCATCATATATTACTAATATTTGCTTCTTGTAAACCAAAGAGAATGAGGAAGTTGTGAATGAAATGTTATTGGGACAGTACACCTCACTAACCTTTCATTTTAGGCTTCTTAAAGGTGATCAAAAAGATGAGAATGTGACTGGGCTAAATATGGAGGGTTTGAGGACTGTCAGTACCAAAACATAGACCCTTCCTTTGGTAAACTAACAAACATGTAGGGCACACATTCATATGCTCAGGCTATTCTTCCTTAAATCAGTCATCTTTTAAAAAAATTATTATTATTATTACTTTTTTTTTTAGGCAATTGGGGTTAAGTGACTTGCCCAGGGTCACACAGCTAGTAAGTGTCAAGTGTTTGGTTTGAGGCCAGATTTGAACTCAGGTCCTCTTGACTTCAGGGCTGGTGGTCTATCCACTGCACAACCTAGTTACCCCAATCAGTCATTCATCACCTATTCTGAGGTGCAATTGTTGGGCCAAGTAACACTGAAACAGGCATTCTTTTTTTCCCCACATTTATTTATTTTATTTTTAATTTATGGAATAAAACAAGCATTTCCATAACATAGAATAAGAAAAATATGATTGCACATGAAACTGTAAGTCTATTATGTACAACTTGCTAATCTTTTAAAATACATAATAAAGTTATCATATAAATTTCTTTTTTTTCTTTTTTCCCCTCCCCTCCACTATAGAGACAACTACCATTAGACATATACATATATATATATAAAATTATTCTATACAAACTTACATTTATCAATTCTTTTTCTGTATGCACATAGCATCTTTCTTCATATGTTCTTTTTTGGGAAACAGGCATTCTTAGATGTCTTATGGCCACTTGATGGTTGAGAAGGGAGGGGGTGCTTTGGATGCAAGTTGTTGAGAGGGGGGTTTGATTTCCTTTCTCTCTACCAGCCCCAAGGAGGCTATGTGACTGTGACAACCACCATGGAGGTGGATCAGACAAGATTTTGAGGTCTACTTATTGAATCCCATGTACCAACTGAAGAGGCCTACCTTTGATGATGGCCATAGTGTTTATTCCAAAATGAGAGTAATACATAAGCCTCTGATTGGCTCTGTCACTGTCTCTTACAGTATTCTTAGGGGGAGATTCTATTTGTAATGGTAGCATTTTTAGCTACAGGCTAGGGTACCTCAACCTTGAATTCAAGGACCAGGGAGCAGTAGGCCTCAAAAATCATGACATTACTCACTACCTTCTTTTTGCTGTGTGATCCTGGAAAATCAATTAACCTTTCTTAGCCTAATATTCCTCATCTGTGAAATGAGGATGATTTTAGATACTTATCCCAAAGGATTATTTTGAGGATCACATGAGATAATGTGCTTTGCAAACTTTAAAAGGATATAGAAATGTGAGCTGTTATAATTATTTCTAGGCTTGCTTTGAACCAAACTACTCCCTAAGAGGCACCTTGGCCTTAAGAGTCTCCAAGAATATTCACATTGTCTTATTGAGGAAATTTGTTTATGGCTTTTATCTAGTATTCCATATTCAATATTCATAGATCAATAAGTGTCCTTATTTTAGCTAAACTTTTCCCCCAACATAGCAGCAATTTTCTTTGTCAATGTCAGGGTAGGGACTAGACCTGTGATTTCACTAATATAGGGAACCCTTTAGTAAAAACAACAAACCTTCTTCTATCAATAAAGTGAAAAAAAAAATGAAAAAATGAAAAAATGAAAAATAAATTTAAAAAATGAAGTGACATTTTTTCCCCCTGTAATTTATAGTCTTAGAAAGTTGCCTAGAACACTGAGAGGTTATAGTGAACAGCTTCTCTGAAACTAGAAATGGTAGGATTTGAATCCATGCCAGCAAAGAGACTGGAGCCTTAATCTTTAGACTGCTGGAGTCATAGGAGTTGGTTTCTAATCCCAGCTAAAGTAAATCACTTTAGGAGTCTGGGTCTTGATTTCCTCATCTGTGAAATGAAGGTGGTGGATGAGCTAATCTTTATGGTACTTCCCATCTGCAGTTGTCCCTTCCACATCTCAGGGACTAGAGCCTTGGTGACCTCAAAATCTGGAAAATCTGCATAAAAATCCACGTAAAATTTTTTTACCCTCCCCTCATACACCAAAGAAGTCTGGATTTTTTCTTTTTCTTCCATAGGGTGTTTACAGTACCTTATTGTAAAATTTGGGTTCAGTATTTAGTCATAGGCTCTGTGTCATCTGCGGGCCTTCACATGTCATGTGAGGCTTCCTCAAAGCTCCCAAAATTCCAATTTAATTTCCTATATCAACAGACAATATATCAAAACCATGATGGGGAAAGTCTTGATGTGGAAGGAATAACTGTACAAAGTTCTTATTCTACACAGTATGCTTACCTGTGGACTACTATAGCACTGAGATGATCACCTTCATCCTGTTGGCCAGGCCAAGGTAGACGTGTGACCTCTGTGCACTCTTTGGACTTCAGTTTTCTCATTGTGAAACGAGAGTTGGACTAAATTCATTTCTAAGGTCCCTTTTTAAGTCTAAGATGAATCTAAGGGAATTTCAGGGAAGACCAAAATGCTGAGACCTGTAAGTCTCTCTGGCTCTCCTGCAACCTCCTTTCCTTAGGCCAGGGGTGGGGAACCTGCTAGCTTGAGGCCACATGTGACCCTCTAGGTCCTCAATGGATTCAGTCAAAAGGGCACAATTGAGGACCTAGAGGCCACATGTGGCCTCAAAGGTTCCCCACCCCTACCTTAGGCCAACCACCGACTGGTTTCCATTGTTTATCACTTAAAATGCCGTGGGACTGGCCTTTATTTATTCCACAGAGTGAAGTGCTTCTACCGGTAATGTTATTAGTTTCTGCTGAATGAATACAAACACCAGGGGCAGCTTGGTGGTACAGTGGATAGAGCACTGGCCCTGGAGTCAGGAGGACCTGAGTTCAAATCCGACCTCAGACACATAACACTCACTAGCTGTGTGACTCTTGGCAAGTCACTTAACCCCAATTGCCTTGCCAAAAAAAAAAAAAAAGAATATTAACTCCTGATCCACAACAGGTTTGCCTTAGTATTCTGATTAAAACTGGCCAGCTTGAACGGCAAAGAAGGTAACTGAGCTGGTCCCAAGTGAGGAGGATTAAATCATAGAATGTGAGAACAAGAAGGGATCTTGTGTGTGTGTGGGTGTGTGTGTGTGTGTGTGTGTGTGTGTGTGCGCATCTATCTTTGCTTGTTTTTCAGTTG